GTAATTCCTAGGTTTGTTTCAGTGGGTAGACTTCTAAATGTTTTATGATGTCTACAGTAACTTTAAATGGAATTTCTTTTTCTATCTCTTGCTGTTGGACTTTGTTGGTAGTATGTGGAAAAGCCGATGATTTATGTGGGTTTATTTTATAACCTGCAACTTTGCCAAAGTTGTTTATTACTTCAAGTAGTTTTTTACTTGCTAACATTTCCAATACAATATTGAACAACAATCCAAATACAAATAATAATAAAATTTTTTAAAAGTTATTGTTTATCATTTCTTTTTTTAATTCCTACACAGATGTTCCAAGTGATACATATGGAAAAACCACACATAGAGAAACCACTTTATGTCCAGGCAAATAACTGTGTTGAGGCAAGTGAGTGGATAGAAGTACTGTGTAGGGTAAGCCGCTGCAACCATAGGAGACTGAGTGCCTACCATCCCTCGGCGTACCTGAATGGAAATTGGCTTTGTTGTAAAGCTACCAGCGAGCATGCTGCAGGCTGCACTCCATGTACTGCGTAAGTTGCTTCATACTTTAAAAGATAATGGCTGAATACATTAGAGGAAACAAGTCCCTGTGGTCTCTTCCTCGTTTTATAAGAATTAGGAAAATTAACTGACCATGACAATTTTTAGTGATTGGCCACATCCAAAAAATACATCTCAGTATGCACCACTCAGCATCACCACTATCAGTTCTGTGGCATCTTTTTTTGTTAGTCCACTAGAATCATGGTTGGTTATTGTGTTGTTCAGCATTAAGTTGTTTGTCTTTTTAGTGTTGTTGTTCAGCTTTTGTCATTTATAAAAGAAGTGTTTGGACTCTACGTGCTTTAAGGTCTCTTTCCGATCTAAAACATTCAGAGATTTGCTTTTATTCCCAAATCACAAATTGAGAGTTGGAAGGAATTTGTAGTCATTAAGTCCAGTGGTGTCAAACTCAAAGAGAAATAGGGCCACTAAACTATACATAAAAGATTCTTGTGCAGATCACATATAGACTTTAGAAAACTACATAATAACATTAAATGTGTTCTATTGTATTTTTGTTAAATATTTTCCAATTGCATTTTAATCTGGTTTAGCAGCACTGGGAAGTGTGGGGGCCACGTTTTTGACACTTCTTATCTCATATCACCTATACACCAATCCTCACTTTTAAAACACCCAACAAGTGGTCATCTTGCCTCTGCTTGAAAACCTCCAAGGAGGCAGATAGCCATCACATCACTAGGTGGTCTGTTCCACACCTGGACAGTTCTAATTGTTAGGAAGTATTTCCCACTGTCGAACATAAATTGGCCCCTCTCTGACTTTCACTGATTGCTTCTGATTCTGCCCTGGGGCCAGACAGAACAAGTGAAGTCCATCTTCCACAACAGCCCTTAAAATACACAAATACAACTCTCCCGTCCTCTTTAACTCTTCTTTTTTCAAGGCTCAGGAAGTCCTGTTCCTTCTGCAAATGTCATGCTAGCTCAAGGCCTCTTTTAACCATCCTGGTAGGCCAAGTCTAGACACTGTCCAGCTTATTATTGTCCTTGTCCGGGAAACACTGCCACTCTCAATACAGTCCATGATCCCATTAGCTTTCAGTTCATTAATTTCCCCAGTTCCTTTTAGAAAAGGTTACTTTCTGTTTGTACTTTTCCTCATTTTTTACTGGGAAGTTGATTTTTTGAACCAAAGTTTAAGACTTTCCATTTACACTTCTTAAGTTTCTTACCATGAGACTGAGCCCATTGCTCTAGCCACAAGATCCTTTTGGATCTTGACTCTCTCATCCCTGTCTTAGTTCTCTCTCCGAGCTTTATATCATCTGCAAATTTGAATTCCTTTATCCAAGTCATGATAATGTTTTAGAACCAAGCATGGATCCCTGGTGTACTCTACTGAAACCATTAAGTCAAGCCATCAAATCAGTTCTGAATCTCTTTGATCATATTGTCATCTAATGATAACCACTGATGTAATCCATATCTTCCCATCTTCTCTTCAAGAATATGAGATACTTTTTCAAAAGTTTGGTGAAGTCTCACTAATCTGTGTCTGTTGCAGTCCTTCCTCTTTATTTGCTGGTTTAGTAATCCTGTCAAAAAAAGAAATAATAGTAATTAATATTTATATCGTGCTTTAAGGTTTGCAAAGCACAATATAATACACATATATATGTGTATATATGCATACTCATATATCCATACACACACATACACATAAATATATAGGGCAGCTAGGGTAGCACGGTAGATAGAGAATGCCAGTGCTAGAATCAGGGAGACCTGAGTTCAAATTTGTCCTCAGACACTTGACAGCCCTATGTCTCTGGGCAAGTCACTTCACCTCTGTCTGCCTCAGTTTCCTCAACTATAAAATGAGAATATGATAGTACCTGTCTCCCAGGGTTGTTGTCAGGGTCAAATGAGATAGTAAATATAAAGTGCTTAGTACAGTGCCTGCCACATAGCAAATGCTATATAAATGTTATTGTTATTATCATCATTATTATATATACAGACAGACAGACAAAATCTAATCTGATCTTCACACTGTCCTTGTGAGATTAGTGCTGTTATTATCCCCATTTTACAGATGAGGAGTCCAGGGTCAGACAGCTAAGAAATGTCTGAGGCAGGATACAAATTCAGATCACTCTGACTCGAAGACCAGCATTTTCTCTTCATCATCACCTGCAGTCGCCTGTTATTAATGAGCATGCTGACTCTTTGCTATCACAGCTTCTTTCTCTGCAGATTTGCCAACCATTTCGCTAATGATCCTTACTAAAATTTTTCTAGGAATTTAAATCAGACTCCTTGGCAGAGTCTGTTCTTTTCCCTTCTTTGTAAATTGAGGCAGTATTTATCCTCTCTAGGCTTAGGGTTCCTCTCTGTATCCTCTAGTCTTCCAAATATTGGCATTGACTCAGGTGTCACCCCAACCAGTTCTTTCAGGGCCGTAGAAGGTGGTAGTTCATCCGGGTAGTTCAAGGGCAGCTCAGTATGTCCTTATTTCTCTGAAGATCAGTTTCTCTTTGTCTTTTTTTTTCCTGTCATTTCTAGCATAAAGGTCATTTTCCTTTGCAGAGAAAACAGAAACATAGTGAGAATTGAACAGTTATGCATCCTCTGTTTTCCATTATCATTGTCCCATCCAGTCCAAGTGAAGGTTTTATTACTTCTTTCATTCTTGTTTTGCTGCTAATAAGAGATAAGAGTTAAACTGGATTTCATTAGGATTGGGAACTCCTGGGTAAGGAAACTCCTTCCACTAATCAGACCAGCACCTTCTCTGCAATTTAAGTACATCTTTGAGAGTTGCCTAAAGTATTGAGGGCTTAAATAACTTGGCCAGAGTCACACAGCAGGGCTGTGTCAGAGGCATGATTTTGAACCTGGGTCTTCTCTGGTTTCCAGGCTGACTCTCTACTCACCGCTATACTACATTGTCCTTGGCTTCCCTCGACAGTCTCCATGCATTCGGAACTTTAACATTCTTGGCACTATTTTTGTAGGACAAAGGCATGCTTGCGCCTTTTGTCTCTCCATTTCTTTTTAATATCTGATTGGATAAGAGTGTTCCTTTAGCATCCTCATCAGTCTCTTCAGACATATCTCATTGGAATTGTATAATTAATTGTATAAATAAATTAGCAAACACTTTTAGAAGAGCAAGTTACCTTGTTAGCATATTAATTCTATTTTTCTGTTTTATACATAGAGGTGTTCCTGCAGACATCCAAATAGATATTGATGAAGACAGAGAAACAGAAAGAATTTATTCCCTTTTTACCCTTTGCATGCCTAAACTGCAGAAAATGGAAGGTAAATGTAAAATGTATCTGCATTTATGTGATCTAAGGTAGCATTTCTGAAATGAGCAAAGGAAAACATCAGTATTAGTCCCTGTCCTTCCCACCTCCTTTCCAACTCAAGAAAATCATACTCATTTTGGTGGAGGAAAAATGTGAGAGGATAATCCATCCAGCTAGAATTTTCTTTAAAATGTAAGTGTTTTATTATGTTAATAAAAATTCCTTCTCATACTATTGTATATGTGAACACTGAGTCTTTATAAAGGTAGACTACCCAGGTAACTCAGGAATGATATATTGTGTCCAGATCTAACAGAGACAGATTTGTGAGTCAGTGAATGAGTGAGATGGCACTCTTTTGGTTTGTTTGAAGATAATGCTGTAATAACAACTCACACATAGAAAGTGAAACGTGATTATCCCACTGTTTGTGATGCTGATCGGATTGAGCTTTATTTTTAACTGATGGTTGTAAAGTAAAAGAAGGGATGGGAGAAGTCAGTGAGAGAACATGAGAGAGCTAACTAAAATGACCACAGAAGTACGAGAAATCGTTAAAGAAATTAGTGGACGTTTCTTATCTTCACGCATGCATTATGCACCGTTTGGTCATTTCCCCTTTCCTTAACACCACTACCAAAACTCAGAGTAGAAAGTGAAGGTTACAATTCATACTCCTTTAAACATTGATCCAAATACTGATAACATATTACAATACTGAATGACAGTATACTTTTTAGATGTGCTTTAAAGGGAAATTAAAATCTCATCTTGTCCTAGAGTTATGTTTTTGCTGTATGGTAACTATAGTGTTTTATATTGCATTGTACTGTAAATTCTACTCTCCATTTTTGTTGAGAAAAACCCATTAGAAGGAGAAAAATAGAAAGTAAGGGACAAGGAAAAACCAGAAAATACTAGTTGGAGGGCTCTTGTTGTTCAGTTGTGACTGACTCTTTGTGACCTGATTTGGGACTTTCTTGGCAAAGGTACTAGGGTGGTTTTCCATTTCCTTCTCCAGCTCATTTTACAGGTAAAACTGAGGCAACTAGTAAGTGTCTGAGGCTAAATTTGAACTCAGGAAGATGAGTCTTCCTGACTCCAGGCCTGGCACTCGATCCACTGTACCTCCTAGCTGCAACAGCAACAAAATTGGTTCTTCAGCCTCATTTTAAAAAGAACTCTAAATGCTAAAGTCTTCGTGAAGAACCGTTTGGAAATTGTAATGTAAACAGCTCCAGTTTAAGTAGAGCCAATAAGATGCCCATTGAAGATAAATCTTAGGACTTACAAATATTTCAGAAGATGGTATATAACTTCGATAATCCTTACTGGTATGACTTGTGTGGTGTGATTAATTAAATTACATAATTAATTTTCTGAAGAGATTTAAAATTTCTTTTTGCCAAAAGGAGAGAGAGAGAGGTTATATTAATAGGAATCAGGATAATTTCATAATCAGATGTTTTCTCCCTTTGATAGAGGCTTGTGGAAGTATAGCGGTTTACCAAGGACCACGGACAGAGCCAGATGACTATTCCTATCTTACGATTGAGGACTCCGTAACAACTTTTAAAACACTTCAGCAAATAAAAGTCATCCTTGAAAAGCTAAATGAACCTCATGAAAAGTATAGAAAGAAGAGATCAACTAATGCCAAATATGGTAGTGAGTGAGTATTTGTTGCAGATGGTCATATGTGTGTGTCTGTGTCTGCATGTGCGCATGCGTGCTTCTGCACAAGCGTCATGGCATGATGGGTAGAGTTAACCTTGATGTTAGAAAGGCTCATCTCACCTGTGAGATGGTCCAGTGAGGCATCCATGGTGAGGGAGCCGTAGGCAGCTTTCTCTCTACTGAGTTACAGATGGGTTGCTATCTGCATTAGAGGAGGGTGTCCTCCCACCAGAAAGTCACAGATCCCTGATGTGGTGACACCTTTGTATAGCAGGAGAGATCAAACTACAGGACACATAAGCATGTGAAGGCTTCATAAAGGAGGACAGAATGGAGCTGAGTCACTAAAGGATGAGTAGGGTTTGGCTCAGCAGCAAGGATGGTGTAACCAAAACTGTCTCAATGACAGGCTATATGAAGATATGTTCTGTGGAAAAGGCCATGTTTGTGGACATGTTTGTGGACATATGCATACATATACATATATTCATCTGGGTCTCAGATCCCAGGTCCTCCACCTCCAAATGCAACATCCTTTCCTCCACCTCAGATCCCAGGTCCTCCACCATGCTGACGCTGGGTCATGTACCACCTTGTGTATGCTCTTACATGGGCGGGGGGGGTGTACATTGGTGTGGGGAACTCCAAGGGAGGAAACTTCTTTTGTCAATGTCTTTTGGCCCCTGTTCTGCAACTTAAAGTCTTAAAGAGTGTCTGAGGGCATGAGAAGCAAGGTGAGTGGCCTGGGTCATGCTGAGTCTGAGGCTGGCCCACTTTCTAATGCAGTACATTGTCTTGCTGGGCTGTGGGAATAAAAATACAGAAACAAAACTGTCCCTGCCCTCAAAGAGCTTGTATTCTGTTGAAAGGATTGGGTGCCTCCCTAGATAAGTGAATACAAAATGTGTACAGAGGAATAGAAAGAACCAAGCACAAACCAGATAAGGGATTCCAGATGTGGGGAATTGTGCATGCACAGGAACAGCTGGGAGCCAGCATGGGAAGGGGAGTCTTCTGAAATCAGACTGGGAGGCAGGCTAGAGCCAAAGAGGAAACCAGAGTGTAGCCTTGATTTGGATTCAGTAGTTAACACAGAACCTTAAATATGGTAAATACAGTAGATAAATAGTTAATTAATAGAATGTAAGCCACATATAGAAATCTCAGGAAAAATAGACACACACACACACACACTGCCCCCACAATCACACAAGGTGACTGATCTTAACAAGATTTAGATCTTATAAAATCAGTTTCCTGCTTGACTAATTGAAATACGTATACAAATAAAAAGAGAAAGCCAGGTGTGGACTTTGGTCATCATGTGAGTGCTTTGGCCTATATGAATTTTTATAGACTTTTCCTATAGCCACTTCTGGCTTTCCTGGCAAATGCAGGAGAGGAGTGAAAAGGACAGCTAAAAACAGGCAGCCCCAAATGAACTTACATTTCCTCAGTAGTGTCATTCCGATACATTACAAATTCACTCTCCTCTGCTGCCTCTTAACTTGCCCCTGATACTGGCCCAGAGCCCAACCATACACTTGAAAGGAAAGCCACTGGTCCCACCGGGTAATCCACAATGTGCAGAACTGAAAATTAGCTAGCCGTTGCTTAGATGTTTTAAGTTTCTGGGCACTAGAAGTTGCTTCATAAAGAGTTCATAAGCCTCCAGGAAATGAATGGATTTACTGCCTTCTCACTGTTTGGATTCAGTGAGCTGTTTGTAAAGCTCTTTGAAATATAAGATGTAAGCACACAATTTACTGATCTTGGTGTTTCAGCAGCCAGAGTGAACGAGGCCCATCCGTATGACTCCTTAGTTAGACCACGGTACTTTTTTCTTATTCTTTATGGACCAAAAATTGAGATGATTAGAAAACTTGGATTCTAAACGTGATCGCCTTGTTTTAGATACTCACTTGTCGATGCAGTAAGTTCTCTTACAGTAGTTCAGTTCATTGTTACACTGTAATCCTTCATGCAAACCCATGGCAAGATAACCCAGGACCTGCTATAGAAGGGTACCAGAGTGGTACAACTCTAGGACCCCTGTTTTCCCACATCAAGTCTGTAAAATGTTTGTGTGGTTTATTGTCACACATTCGGTAGTAGGTTGTAGTGACAACGAAAGATGTGCTGAAGGAGGAAGAGGCTTGGCTTGGGTGTCATCACACCTGTACTCCAGTCCTAGGCCTGCTGCCTAACAGCTGTAGTACTTTATCACCTTTTCCTCTTCTGTGAAAAACGGGTTTCAACTGTATGATCCCTAAATCTCCTGCTTCTATGATAATGGAAATGATGAAAAAACTAAAAAAAGGAACAAGCATTTTTATTCCATGAAAAAAAATTAAACCATAATTATACATAGTAATTCAGTGTGTCTCCATATTGTTTTATTTCAAAGAGATAACATTTTAGAGTTGCAGCTTATAAAAAATATTGGGTACAAAAACAGTTGACATTCTTTTTTGTTTTAAGAATTTACAATTACTTTTCATCTTTTTTCAGGGAAAATCCAATTGTTGGGAAAGTGTCCTAATCGGATTAGAATATGACCAACTGATTCAGAAGAAACTGGAATTACTGTTTTTATTGAAGTTTTTTTTATTAATAATATATACTGTCCAGAGTATTAAGAATGGACATTGGTTTCAATGTTATCTGTGTTCACTTTGTATTTAATATGTAATTGATGGAACTGTTTGGGAAGCCATATCGAGGCTTACCTCCTGTGTTGTATTGCCAGAAAATTTTCAAGTTGAGGTTCTTTTCATATCAAATGTGTTTGCAGCCATGTTTCTGCAACTGCTTTTAATTGGAAAGAATATTTCTAAGGAAATAAGTTCTGATGAAGGCTATAATCTCCCGTTGCAGACAGCTTCTCATAGCCTGTCTGTAGTCTGAGAACCTGTGTTCACCACCAGTGCCTGCTATATGCTGCCAACAGTTTATTGCAATAGAAAATTCCAACACATGGCACCGACCTATCCAGAGCTCTCCATTTAGGACAACCAGAGCTCCCTATTCAAAATAATAATTTTCTTTGATAATCCATTGATCATAACAAGTCACAAAGGTGACTGAAGCAAATACTTTGGAAAACTGCCGGGTTGGTAGGTAAACCAGTGCTTGCTTTTAAAATTTAAATATGATTCAAGTAGGAGAAATCAGGGAATTTGTGCATCTTGTTTACATTTGGAATGAGTAATGGCAGATGAAAATAAGATGAGACCACTTTGTGTTTCAAAAGGAAAAAAAATCAGGTACTCATTTTTCTTTAATAGAAATTTCAGGGTATTATCACTTCTGAAGACAGATATATTTTCTGAAAATGAAAAGAAAGGATACAGTGAAAGATGGTGGTAAGAAAAATCACTTGATTTCACTTACTTCCTGAAAAATGAAGGGTCATCTTAAATAGGCCCAACTCATCTCACGTTAAAGAATTTTATTCCACAATAATCACTCAGAGCACTTTACAAATCTGGCCTGTCCCAGATTGTGCATTAGATGCCTTGGAGTATCTAATGATCTAATGATCAGTTGAATGATCAATGGGGGGTTTTTGTTTTTGTTTTTGTCTTTTTGATTCTAAAAAACAGTTCTTAAGTGAACATGTTTGTATTGCATTTGTGTTTCTTTAGAATTTGCTAGACCCGGGGAATTTGGTTTAGCAAGTTTTGCCTGTCAGAAATTCAAATTTTGTTTTCTCTGAATAATTTGCCCTAAAAAATGATAATTGTATAGAAGCAGTAGAAGCCAGTTGCCTCTTTGCAGATGGTAGGAGGCATAAATGTTGCTTCATCAGTATTAAAAACTATGGTACTCTTTTATTTTTAAATGCAGAAACACTCCCTATGGTACTTCGTTCTTGGAGTATTTATGGTTTTCTGTTTCAAACTGTGACTTATCAATATAAGTCTGGATTATGTTGTACTGGTGACGTTGATGTTTTTAAACATAAGCTACAGTTTATAATATATTTTGGCATGTGAATTTAACATATTACCTTTTTCTCAATCCTTGAATTCCCTCTGTCTAAAAGAACCAGGAGCTACCTACCTATGTCCTGTGCCAGTCAAGGTAACTGCAGCTGAGGCCTCAAAAGTCGCTGTTTCACTCTGTGATTCCTAAAGGCAAGAGAGATTCTCTCCTGTACTTGCAGGCTCAGGTGTCATTGTCCTTAAAGGAGACAGATAGCATTTGTCACAAGAATAGAGCTGTGTCTGTAGTGACAAAACACTGGTCATCCGCTGACATCTTGTCTACATATCGCTCAGACCACCAATTTAGAATGCCTTGATCTTGACTCAGTCTAAGAATGGGAAACACAAGCAAATTAGTTTTCTTTGTAAGGTTGACTTAGTTAACAGAATTAGTGGGGGGCTGACGCAGTAGAAGCGTGCGGGCATCTCTGTGACTTCACATTCCACCTCATTGCTCAGTAATATTCTTTAGCTTTGTCCATCTGTTTATTCCTTGATCTTCCTAGATCCTAGACTTAGATCCTTCTGATTCCCAAGTCTCTTCCCTGACTAGAATTGGCCTCTTGGTACCCGGAGTCACCCTGGAATCCTGAAAAGCAAGAAGAAAGGAGTGGGCAATGGGAAGGCTGTGTCCTTATGTGCTAGTTATTACTGGTTCCTCCTTTAACCACTTGCCCCAGCTGACCTACCCCAATTGATTTCAATGAGCCAAAAATAATGTAAATCTTAATTATAGACTTAAAGTTCTTCTGAAAATTTAAGTAGCCTTTAAATCAGATGACAAAGCCAAAGCAAAGATTTTTGACTCCAGGGTATATACTTTATTGATCAAACTGAAAAATTTTGTTTTCTAAAATAAGTTTAAAATATCACTGTGATGATGATGAAAGTACAAATTAGGCTTCATTGTTCTTAGAACTGTTTTTTTTTTTAAGCTAGTTTCAGTTATTTATCAGCAAAGACTCATTCATGTCACCTGAAGTTCGTATTTCAGAAACTCTTCAATAGAGACTTTTTAACAAACGCACTTTTAATTTGCTCTGATGGTACATCCTATACAGGCAGAAAACCACCGGCCTAAACTTCAGATGTTGTTTCAGGATGTTAAAAATATGCAAGTCATTCTAGAGTCAAATGATCGTCCCATACTGATGCCAATGTTAAGTTACTTGCATTTTTATTAACCTAACAATTAATATTTGATTATGGTCCAGTTTGAAATGTAAGTTATCAAAACTGTAGTTTTCATTTGTGTAAGTGTTGTATTGTTAAAAAAAAGTATTTTTATTTAAATTTTATTTTCTTATCAAGAGTATTAAAAAAGTTTAAAACTTTTGTAACTGTTGCTGAAAAATTACTCAAATAAATTACAGGAAGCCTACTTATTCTGCATGAAAGTTGATTTCTTTGCTGACTCCAAGGTATTTTCAAAATTGTTTAAATAATTAAAAAATAGAGAAAGAACGATGCTAATGAAATGATTGAACGCTAAAACAGAGATAAGGGAAAGGGGGCAATTTAACATACTCTGTGCAAAGTTGCAGTTGGGCCTTTTTGGGCTGATTTCCATTTGTTTCCTTCCCCACCAGGGGACAGAATTTGTCCGGTGATGTTCCTGGTCCTGCTGGTATTTAATTCCCTCCATTACCATTTGAATGCATTCAGGTTCAGGTCCTAAAGGGACATTAGGGTCTTCCTCTATTAGAATGCTAGCACCATGTCATCATACAGCTCATTCTAATTGCTCAAATAAAGCGGTGTTGTATTTGTACTTCAGAGCTCTCGCTCAGGTGTGATCTTTTCATCAGAAGTGCATGAAAGTTCTCTCTTCCAGGAAAGGCCCTTCCCCCCCCCCCCCCATAGGATTATATTCAAGTTTTCGGCATAAATTATTCATGGCTGTAAACCTATCTCTTTTGCCTTTTGGACCATTGCAACCTTTCTACTCCTTTCTGATGGTAACTGCTCAATCTTGTGTGATTCTGACTCTGTTAGTTCTTTAATATTTGAACTACTTTGCAGATACTTGTATTTGTGCTCAAGTGTGTGTGTGTCTGTGTGTCTGTGAAAGCTGTGGATTTGCGCTATAATATTTCTAGTATTTTTCCTTTGGAGGCTCCTTTCAGGAGGTTATTGATGGATTCCTTCTGTCTTCACTTTTGGTTCTAATAGATCTGGGAAGTTTTCATTTGTGAATTTTAAAATAGAACATCCAGAATTTTTAAAAATAGTGATTTTCAGGGTGTCCAATGATTCTTAAATTATTTCTCCTTGACCTTAATTCTAGGTCAGGATTTGTTTTTTTTATGTCAGATGTCTTATATTTTTCATTTGATTTTCTAATTATTTCTTGCTGACTCATACAGTCATTGATTTCTGTTTGGTCTATTCTAGTTTTCAGGGAATCTATAATTAGGTAAAGTTTACTACTTTTAAGCTACTTTTTCTCCATTTTACTTTTTTTTTAATCTCTTGCTTCATGTCTTCTACGTAATCGTGTAGTCCTTGTGAAAAATCTGTTTTTTCCTTTGAGTCTCTGCTTACAGTTTTTATGGAGTAATTCTTTTGAGGGAGTTATAGATTTGCAGTAGCTTTTTATACAGGTCACTGTCTTCTTTGGTTTACTCACCCCACCCCAGGCTATGTGCCAGGGCCAGGCTCCACCCCCTGCTACAATTTGAGTGGGGTTGTCAGACTAATCTGGTCTCACTGTGGACCATCTGGATTCTCTCAGTGGCCTCCACCTCCCAGCATTAGGCCTCCCCGAATCCTTGAAGTTCAGAGCTCTGTCTATAGGGACACTTGGGGCATCTCAGGGCAGTCAGTATTACTGACATTACAATTACATTAATCCATCTCTGGTCATGCTGAGAGGCAGCCAGCCTGTTTGCCTGAGCTGACGCTGGCTTTACTGGCAGGGCCCTTTTGCCTGTGGGCTTCCAGCTGCCTTTTTGTGCAGTTCTGGGGTAGGAGTCACATACTCAGATTTTCTCAGTACAGTCCCTAATCATTAGTAGATCTGGTAAACATTTCTGGATTTTGCTGGAGGTAGCTATGTGGGAGCTGTCTGTCCCTTTCACATAGGAAAAGGGAGGTCCTGATGGAAGTCTCAGCAGAATCTTCAGAATGCAGTTTGCTATACTCCTGCTGGGTTAGCCCACTCTCCAGGGACCATCTGTTGAATTTGAAACCTATTGTGATAATGAAGACCCAATTAAAATCCCAGAGCCAACATAAGTCAAACAAGGATAGGAAACTGGTAACCCTTGATACACTTGATGTCCACAAGTTCCTTCAGTATCAAGATCTACCTGTTGAGTATCTCGTCTCCATTCCTTCGCCCATCTCTAAGAAGAATCTGGAACCCACTTTGAGGTATCAGCAGTTATCCGACATGTTGGGGCTTTGGTTTTCACGCCAGTGACTCCTACATGAAACCTCACCTGATGATATTTTTGCCCAAAGTTTCTACTCTGTCCAGTCCTCTCCTTAATTGGGTTGAGGCTCGGGGTCCATCATCTGTTGTTTTATCCAACAGTATTATTGTCCAGTAACACTAATTTTATCCTGTTGTGTAATTTTCCTCAAAATTTCTGCATGATTGACTGCCTGGTTGACTTCATCTAATCTTACCATCTCTAGCTTTGATGATGCTCTGTCCGTTACTGGCTGCTCGTGTTTGACCCCTACTTCAAAATGGATGAGGAAGCCAGTAAATTCTATTAGATCCTTGTGCTATGTCTTGAGTCAGATTAGGACTATGGGAAACTTGGTTTTGCTACTTGCTAGCCATATGATCTTAGGACTTGTCACTTTTCCCTTTTCTAAGGCTCCATTTCCTCATCTGCAAAGTGATAATACATTTACTGCCAATTTCATGTTTGTTGTAGGGAAAGCACTTTATAAACTACAAATGGAACTTTTTTTAAAGCTTAGTCAAACCTGGCAGTGTTAGTAACACTGATGGTTGGTAACAAAAATCCCAACCCTCCCCCCCAAAAAGAGTGTTATTTTTCTCTAGAGTGTTTCTAATTAACTTCTCTTTGACAAAATAGCCAACCTGGAGACATGGTGAGATAAGGAAGCAAATGCTAAGGTCTTGATCTCCCAACCTTCCTGGCCATCATCACCGTCTGTATAGAGATTTTCATATTAAAAAAAAAAATTCTTTTTCCCCTGAACATCTGCAAAGTTCCTAAAAGAAATGAATCTAGGCTGGTGAGACCTAACAGACCAGCCTTCCTGGAGCTATTAGATCCTCCCTTTTGGGTGGGGCCCTGCCAAAATAGCTTCAGACTTTAAATATAGGTCTCTTCTGCCATACAATACAGGTGTGAGTTGATCAGCCGATAAAATCTGAGCAAGAGGTTGGGAAAGCTGTGACTTGGGTTAAATAATACTACCAGGGTGAAAAAGTACTCTGGGAATGGGGGCAGGAGTCATTAATCCTACCTACCACCTTGCTAGGTAGGCAGAAAGTAATGATGACACCCTTTCCTTGAGGGAGCTTTGGATATGGCTCCGGAAACATGGAGTTAAGAAAGCAATTGATGAGGTAGCTAGGTGGCACAGTGGATAGAGTTCTGGCCCTGGAGTCAGGAGGACCTGAGTTCAAATCCAGTCTCAGACCAGACACTTGACACTTACTAGCTGTGTGACCCTGGGCAAGTCACTTAACCCCAATTGCCTTGCCAAAATAAAAGAAAGCAATTGATGACCAACCTATAAGGACCCTAGTAAAACTGCCCATAGAAATTTGACACCAAGAGTAGCAAGGGCCCTTTAAAGCCATTACAGCAGAGATTAGGATGTATATCTATTGTCAATATGGACATTGAAGTGTTGATGCCATGTTATGCTGGGCACAGGACCATATGATCCCCCTAAAACTAAAGACAAGGCAACTATTTCTGCCCAGGTGGGCTCCTTGTCCCAGTATGAACACCTATGCAACCCAAGTGGCCCTTAACCAAGCTACAACTGGCAAAATGGTAATCTCCCATCACAGGGCAAGA